TAATATTATATTTATCAGGTCTGCATCCTACAGTTTAGCTTGTGTCCTCAGTAAGATAAAAAAAAAAAAATCCGAGCTCCTCAAGAATTCCTTCATCATCTTCAGTCCTTAGCATTAAGTGACAAATTCTAAAGCTCTCACAACTACTTCCCAGAAGAAGTATCTAGCTCCTCGTTCTAAGGTTGTAAAATACAACAAGCCAGTGACAAAGATGACTTCTATCTCCTGTCATGGACAAATTGAATCCAAATTTAATCCGGAAGTTTCTAACACAGACCTGTTAAATTTGTGGACTATTAACATTTTGGTTGTCTTTCTAATACAATTACATGCAGGGTAAATAACATTTTCTTCTCCCAAGTTTTGAAAAAGAAAAAAAAAAAAAAAAAGGGTTCTGATCTCCTGTCAAAAGTTACCGTTTCTTACCTTTTAGATTTACCTACCCTTTCTTAATTGAAGTCAGCTTATCTGAAGAAGATATACAACACAGTTTAGATGTGATGTGATTTTGCCTAGGAAGAAGTTATTCAGAATCTCTTGGATCTTGTTCATCTTCAAGAAGCTCTGAAGGCGTTTCCAAAGGAAATACATGTCAGTGACTATATGCAGCTGAGAGCTACTGAACTGCACAGAAAGATTAAATGCATCCTCCTTTCTGTCTAGACAAGTATTTTGTAAACTTTCTGTCTATATACAGGCTAGAGCTGAAAGGAACATCTTATAAAGTGATGGTAAAGAGCTAAAACTTGAGAATGGCTACACATAGAACTTCTGCTTGTAGTAGGTGTTGGTATACCTAACCCTCTAATGATCTGATGGTTCACGCTTCAGAGGTGTATTTGAATAAAAATTCAGTTGTAAAGAACCTAGGAGGAGTTTGAGGTGAAAGTCATATTGAATTCCATCCAACCCATTTCTCTCCTAAGCACAGACTGGATATTGAGGGTAGAGAAGGAGGGGAAGAAAGAGGGTAGCATACAGTCTGCTCCCGAGCAAAGAGTCAAATGAACTGATCAATCTTCTGTCTTTCCTTGAGCACCAGCTTAAGAAATTTTGCGTTGCTACAGAGCCTCAAAGATTTTCTCACAAAGGAAGGACTTCACTAGCATTTTAAACTTTTCCATTGCCTTTTACCTCAGCTGAACATAGTCTGAAGAATATTTGCACCACCATCTAAGAACCACCAGCCTAGTTCCTCCAATTACACCTGCTGTCTGCAGCTCTGCTGTTTAGGACCATTTATGGAAAGACACCTACAGATAAATCTCCCCTATAAAATGCACAATTTTAAATATTTTTAATGTATTACTGGAATGGTAGGCAGGGCTGGAGCGGGTGCATCATCTAAACCCAATCACAGCATTTGAATATTCATAGCCACATGAAGTTACCTATACAGCAATCAAAATAAGTTCCATCTGGTTTCTGGTCATATTAACTATGCTGATACCAAACTGCCAGAATACATACCTTCGGCATAAAAGAAAATAAAAGTGTGGGGGGGGAAAGTTTGCCCTTCCAGCTCCCTACACTTACACAAGATCAAAAATAATATGCACACTGTAATCTGCAGAACTCTCCCCAACATTCTTAGATATAGGTTCCAGTCTCTTATCACACTGACATTTAGAATTTTTTCCAACTACCTGAACAACCTCATCTGCTATAAACTGAACTAATTCTTCCTCATCAGCCAAAAAGAACAATCCCTGTAATAATCTTTTATATACTGTAGGCAACTCATACTTCCTCTCTTCTGCTGATGTTTTCTAAATTAAGTAACACCTGTCATGCATTGCACTTTCTAACTGCCTCCTCCTCTTACCATTCTCCTACACACCTCTACATTAGTAAGTTTTGTGTCCAAAACTGGACATTGTATACAGCAGAGACATTATGGGGCTCTGAGCAACCTGATATAGTTGAAGATGTCCCTGCTCATTGCTGGAGGGTAGGACTAGATGACTTTTAAGAGTCCCTTCTAACCCAAACCATTCATGATTCTATTATCAGTTGCAACAGCAGTTAACTGTCTTCTAATCAACTTTTCGTTCAAATTCAACTTTTCTGTAATTAAGTACAAAATGAGATTTAATTGAAAAGCTCTTGCATGCTTCCTTCTCCCACAGTCAGTCAGTAACTCCTCACTTTATGTTTATTTGATATGCTTGGTTTTTTTTCTTAAGTAGCATTTCTATTTTCATTGACAAAGTAAAGCACATACAAATAGAAAGAGATGATCAAACTCCTGATTTGAGCAGCAGAGCTTTTATTACTAATGATGGGAGAATTGAAAGCAGATCCAGTTTACAGAGTCCAGACTGCTCTGGTTGGGAAATCAGTTGAGGAAAAAAAAAAAAGACTACCCTGACAATTAGGCACACTTGATATAAATCAGACACTAATAAAAAAACCCTACAATGCTGTCTTTTATAGAGTTTCATTTCAACATAAAGACACATTTTCAGCCCTTCAGAAAAAACCTTTGGCAGTAACACAAGAGAAGTTGTCTGTGACGGAGCTAAGAGTGGCAAACGACAAGGGAGATGCCAACATAGCTTAGAATATAGAGTATAAAGTAGCTAAGTCTCACAAGAAACGGACATCTTTTAAAATGCATTTTACATGATGTATAAAACCATCCTAACCTGAAACCTTTTAATTTTTTTTTTTATACTATCCTCTTGGTGTATTATACTGAATTTCTACCTCTGCTGCTAACCCACCATCTGCCAGTAATGTGAACTCCTGTTAAAAGTATACACTGATTATCTATTTATATGCTAATGAACCTAAAAACTCTTGAACTCTTTTTGTTAAGCTATTTTATTAGTGTCATACATTACAAATGCACTGCAAACCTTTAGAGTGACAGAGCCATTCGCAGAGAAAGCACAGGCCTTTTTTATGTAAATCTGATGTTGGTATCTGATATTAGATCACAAAGAAAAGAGGCAGTTCGTCTACAGTCAGAGCGAACAAGCACCAAAGAAATCCTAAACTGTAAATATTAAACTGGTAAGAGGATGAACCAAATGTTACTTTGCTATTTCAGGTATCATTATAGGTGAAAACCTGAGCCAAATATTCTAAAGATTTTAATTCAAGTTTATTCTTATTTGAAAAAAGATTGAAACACCTCTTTGGCTGGCACTCATGCTTTGGCCCCATGCTGTCCTTTGCATTTCCCTTTACATACTAAAGAATTCAGATGCCATAGGACCTTAGAGTCACCTACAAAACGTTGGGCTGAACAATGATAGCCTCAGATCGTTTTTTCATTTTGGAGAGACACTCACATTATTATGTATTTTGCAAGAACTCTTAATAGGCACGCAGTCATAAAACTGCAAGAATATCAATTTGGAAAGACAAAACAAAGTCTATAGATTCCTATCACTACGCAGGAAGAAGCAGACTTTTCTTGCACTGTAATCTGTCATACAATAGAAGTGTCATGAACAGTCCTTGAGACCTAACAGATGCTTTGAGACTTTACTCAATCTTTCAAAGTGATAGAAATGGCTACATTGCAGTCACTTATGCTTCTTATGCTAAAAGCAGCAGAAATCCATTTCATTTATTTTGCAATAATTTATTACAATCTTCTTCATGTAAGTTACAGTAAGGGAAGGACACTAGCAGATTTCATCACTTTTGGTAAACAGCAAGAAAAATGATGATTCTACAACAAACGCAATTCATCCTTTCAGAAAGTAAACTCCAGAGGTGCAAAACCAAAACTACATGTAGCACATAAGAATGCCTGCAGCTCAAAAAAAGCCACATACAATTCTAAAAAAAAAACAAAACCAAAAACCAACCCAAAACACCCCAAACCCCCCAAAACAAAAAAACCCACTCAAATGGCAAAGTTTGGTTGAAAATTAAGACCTTTGAAACAGCCTTGACTTCAACACTTATGTAAATTTTGAATAATTACTATCTATTGCATTTATTCTGTGAATCTCAAGCAACAACTATACTTGTTCCCTGTACCCTTCTCATTTCAGAAGTATAAGTTACCAAATATTACATTCCTTATGTCAGAATTTCCCAAGAATGCATTTATATATGCATATATGTTAATTTCCTGTAGCAACATAAGAAAATAAATTCTAGATCTAATTAATTACTAAAATTCCCCTGTAACTGAAATAATATGTCAAATATACCTTATTTTCCACTACTTCTCAACCAATACTGAAAAATGTACTCTGTCAGTGTAAAGGCTCATCATGTTAGGACCCACTGTGGAATGCACTATCATTCGTGTTAAAAAGATGTGAATTTTTCCCCTCTTCACTTTCCCTCACAGCAAGTGGTACACTTGTGCACACTAGCAAGAACATTTTCAGCTAATACTGTAGTTAACTGAAAAAAACCCAACCAACAAACCCAAACCCACACAAAAAGGTTTGATACAATTCCAAGTCTGCTTCAGAGCTCATGAGGTTGAATTTAATTTTAGAGGAAAACACAACACTGAGATGAAGACCACTAGTCATGCCATGAGGTAAAAATTAGATCATCTGCTCATACACTTGAATTTAAACAGGTAATAAAGAAACAAATATCAGCTGTACGAAATCAGATACAAAGGAAAAAGATTCTACATGTTAAGATAACCAACGATAACATAATTATCTAGCAATCTCCTAATTTATATGCAGTTCCTTCTTAAACAAAGAGGGGCAGCATTGTGCATACAACTCCTCCAGGGAAATACCAGCACGCACAATCTGTTACCTCAGATGACTGCTCTTGTACCCTTCACCATATGTGCTCACTGGATGTTAGTTCATGAATAGAAGTAGGTAAAAAACAACATGGTTTTAATAATATTAGTCTGTATTAAAGACTAACAACTTGGCAAGCATATTACCACTAAAGCACTAAGTATACTTCATCATACTACTACTTTAAATAATTACAAAACTACTCACAAGGGTATCATGAAGCAGCTTTTCTTTGCTTAGCAATAAGAGCCAGATACTCACAAAGAAGGGTCTTGGACCAGATCTTTAAGGTTTATCCCACTACGATCCTCGGCAAGGTTCCTGAAGCAACTGTCACTCACTAAAAAAAATAGAAATAAAATTAAAACAAAACAAAACAAAACCAGAGAAACAAGGGTTGAAATTTAAGAAAAGAACACAGTTCTTTTGAGTACTAGAAACGCTTTCTGGTGTTGGGTGTAATTTGAACGTTCGTATATAAAGTCTGATTTTCAGTGACATTTCACCTAATTTCAAGATAAGCCAACTCAACAGAAAGCGATAAACACTGTATCACCGACTACATGGAAACAATCACTTTCAACTGTTGACCTCACTACTTCTCTACCTATGGCAACAGGAAGTCTCAAACGCAAACACTGGATGTGCAAATATACACAAATACCCATATACTTAACAGTACAGTCATTAACCATGCACCAGTCAGTATTCTTTACCTAATCAGAAACAGTGAGAGTTGCTATGTATTCAAGTTCAGTTGGCCATAGGTTAGCAAAGATATTTAATATGAGCAATAGCCAAAACAAACAATTAAGAGCATAAATTTATTCAAACAACTTCAAATTAACTTATAAAGTGCACGTAAAGCAGCTGGTTACTTTTCTAATTGAAATTACACACAGTAAATTTCACAGAATTTTAAGAGTATTAGTGTGCTTTCATTTTCTTCGCTACATTAAAAAAATCCCCAAAACAAACAACAAGATTTAAACCTGAAACTCCGCATCCGTTCTCTTGGCTAATTCTCTCAGCACACGCACCCCATTTCCACAAGCTGGTTCATTTCTCTTAAACAATGCCACAGTCAATTTGAGAGGTGGAAAAAAAAAAAAAAGTAGCGGCACAAATGCTTTTAAAAAAAAAAAAAAAAAATCAGCATCCCTTCAAAGGAATTACAGTTATTTCTGACTACAGTAAACTTCCTGAAGGATACAAAGGTTGTGACATGGCAAAATCAGTGTAAGGATCAGTTTGCCGTAACTAGCAAGGTAATCTGACTGATATGAGAGCTTATGAAGAAACACATTACTGCTCATCTTCTGACACACAACACAGCCTCACATTTGGTGAATGGGGATGTGTTTAAAATCATCTGCAAAAGCAAGTGGTCCTACTTCTTTCTCTCTAAATGCAAGACATTCTTTTTAATTTACATCTATAAGTATTTCTGTGTATCACCAGCATCAAAACAATACCAATCATTCCCAAAATGTCATTGTCACAGATTATAATACATCCTGTGACAGACCTATCTGCAAAACTGCAAAACATTTCTACTAGTACCCCTTGTTGCCAATGCACCTTGCAAACGTGAAGCCTATTAGTCTGCTGGGAAAGACAAGTGCTGGAAGTAGGGGTCCCCGAAGAAGGGGCTGGAGCAGCTGACGGAACAGGTACTGCCCCAGCCCTCACACAAAGCTAACAGTATACAACACTAACAGCAGTATTAGTCAAGTGTTGATAACATTAAGAAGTTTACCCACTTTGCACCTCAACACTGTAATAACCAGTTGATATCCTAAGCTTCTTTTACCTGCCGTCTTTGAAAACGCTACCTAACAGTTGCTCAACACACACGATCCCCGAAAGCCAGGCAGTATATCACAAGGAGACACTTCTCTTTGAGGTAATTGCCACGGATCTTCGGTTTAAACAGCAGCTACCTGTGCTAACAAAGTCCAGAACTCCCGGTTTGTTCTTCCCATGACAATTTAATCATTGTCTCTACGCTACACTGAAAGTTACCTGTCCTGAGTTCAGAAGAGCTACCTTTACCTTGCCAGGGGAAACTCCCCTTGAACACCCTGGGCCTTCGGAACTTTTTCATTTCCATGTCCATCTATTGCACTGAACCCAAGACCCTTGAATTTACAAGGTCTCTAAGTCCTGAGTTAAAAGGAGATCCAAGATTCCAAGATCAGCAGACTCGTAAACAACCCACACTCTAGATTTTAAGGGAGGAAAAAAAAAAATTCCAGCTAAGTTGATATTTGACAGTTTATATTTGCCTTTTGTCAAGGTTGGCAACAAAACAGCAAACAGAACATTTTACCTACTGTCTTTTCATAAATCCTACACTAGTGATGTACTCACATATCTCCTATGCCAACACTATACATCATGAATAAAAATGATGGTTGATAATGGTTTTTTCACTACTTGCAACTGTTCTAAAACTTTTTTAAAGGGAAAATGAAAAATAACAAAGTTATCTCAGTAAAACTAACCATTGTTTATCTGTATGTAACCCATGAAGTTTATAAAACAAAATATGTTTGAAACAAATGTTTAAAATGAAAGCTTAGATTTGCCAGAGACTGTCTTTGTCTTACTTGTCTCAACATAACACCAATATTATAATACCCTTCTTAAGAATGCAGTTGAAAACTGCAAGCCTTCCCTCTAGTTAGCAGAGCTGGGCAACACAAGCTTTTGCTAAAAAGACTAACTCAACAATATTGAAATATCTACAAACTTCGAAAAAGGTATCAGCATTGTCTCTCGACTTTCATTTGATTGTAGGAGAGTCAGAACACTGGGAAGCTGCGAATTTGCAAGCGAGCCTCTTAAGTTACCGTTCTAGCCAGATCCAGAAAATGTAGATGCCTCAGAGAAACGTGAAAAATTTCAAACCCAGTTTTAACAACCAAGAATTCCAGCAGTTCACTTAATATTCACCAAAATCAAATTTCTGAAAACTAACATTTGACTATAATTGCCAATTAATTTACTAGCATTGATAGCAACAGGAGAGCTTCTAGTGAGAGGAAAAAAATCAGTGGAATGGGCTGGTGTT